AGCATGATCATAGGCGTGCTTTGGGAAAAACAACATGTCGTCGTGGCCATCTTAACCGCCTTAGGAACCTTGGTCAAGGGATGGAAAGATTTCAAGAATTTTTCCATAAAGATGGACATGAGTCGTTTCGCTTTCACCACGCATGAAAAGACCTTGATCGAATTGAGAACCTACGTGCGCGTTTTTCCCTTGGATGAGTTTGAAGGTTTCCTCATCAAATTGCAAACCATGGAGGACACCATCACGGATTTGACTCAACCCATCAAGGACGCGTACGTCAAGCAGTACGACCTGAAATTTCGTTACATTCCTTACCAAAAAGAGCATAAATTAGAGGACCTAGGTGTATGAGGGTTCATTGCTCGCCATGAAACAGAAGGGTGGTGTGCTACCCGCGTCCCTCCTAACGACCGCGGGGCTCGCGCTCATGATGAGAAGAAGACGTCAGAGGAGAAAGAAACAGAAGGGTGGTGTCCTGCCTTTAGCAGCTCTCGTGCCGGCAGGCATCGCACTGGGCAAAGCCGTGGGCTTGGGGGCGGCTTCCGGAGCAGCCAGTTACGGGGCCAAAAAAGCCTTGCAAGCTATCGGTAAGAAGAAGAGAAAGAAATGACAAAGTGGAGGAAACATCTTTGCCAGTGCCGCCAAAATGGGCTACACCTTGGGAAAACGCAAGGATTACCGACTATGGGTTTGACAGGCGCTGCTCAAAGCACGTATCGCCATCGCAAACAACCTTGGCTCTATAAAAAGCGATAAAAAAAGCCTCAAGTCTCATTCAATACGATGGATGCTGTGCTAAACACCGGAGAATTGCCAGCCACCGTGACGATGCGTAGGAAGTGAAAGAAATCAAAGAAGGGCAAAGCATGGTACGATAAGACTTTCCAAGTGAAGAAATTCGTGAAACGTAAGAGAGCCCCGACCAGGAGTAGAGCCAAACCACCTGTCTGTTTTAATCGTAGAACCACCCTCCTGAGTTTATTGAAACGCATCCCAGCCGTCAAGACACCATTGGTTAAGATGATGGGATGAAAAAGCCATAAGAAGCTTGGTCTTCACTCAACCCACGTTCAAAAAACATGGCAAGACAGCGAAGTAAGCTATCAAGACTCTCCCGACCCAAGATACTGCAACGAGGTGGAGCCCAAGTGAACCAGAGAAGGTTAAATGATCTATTCAGAGCAGCTGGTCCTCAGGCTGGTCCGTTGAGGTTTTTGAACAAACAGATTCGAAAGAACAGAGGCAAGTTGGAACGTGCCATTCGCAAAATACCCTTTCAAACTGCCCTCAAACCTGTCAAGAAAAAACGCAAGACAACGTTCCACATTCCAGCGGGTGTGAAAGTGGTAGAGTCGATTCAAGGCATAAAAGACTTTACCCCTCACTACCGACTCAGAAAGAGACGATGAATCGATTACGGCGACAACGTCCGTTCTTGACCAGTATTCTCCAAGAAGCCAATCGTTTCAAACGTCAAGAGTTGTTGGAACACGCCAACGCCGACCAGATCAATGCCGTCAGTGAAATGGTCTTGAATTTGTTGAAAAAGAGAAATCCCGTCGAGCCTCAGACGCTTCGAAAACTTCAACGCCATAAGAACGTGTTGCGCGAAGTCGGTAAGCGCAGAAATTCTCTGAAGAGGAGGCGTCAACATCTGTTGGCTCAGACAGGGAGTGGATTCTGGCGAGGTTTAAATGAGTGTTACGAACATGTCGACTCGAGACGCAGACGGTTACCCCTTACAGGGCATCGACGTGGTACCAGAAGGTGTGGGTGAGAAGAGAAAACTAGTCGAAATCAAATACAACTTGTCTAAGCTCATTGGATTGTTACAAGAACCCAATCACAGAGAAGAACAACTCAAAATAGTCCAAGATCGTCAGTTTCGAAAGTATCGGGCTCTCGAACAGGAATATTTGGCTATAAAATACGGTAACAGGTGTGACGATTGCATACGAGTTAAAGACGACGTGGAAGACGTCATCATCCCCTGCAAGACCTGCGCCAACTCAGAAGAGACCATCAAGAGTCTGCAATTGAAATTGGAAAAACCCCACCAAGAAGCCCGTTACTGGCAAGACTGTTTTGAAACTGCATTGCAGTATGACGGAAGAGGTCATGTTTCCGGTCAGTGAATTCGAACGTTTGCAAGATTACTACAAAGGACAGATTTCCCAAAGTGCTCTGTTGAACAAAGCAGGACGACTGGCCGCCGAAAAACAATTGATCTTGGGGAATCCCACCATTCCCGACGGCATTGCCGTCAAGATGGCCAAACCCTTGGCTCGTGAACAGACTCAATTGACCAAACGGATTCGGACAGGAGGTGCCCCACGCCCTGGCGTGAGCGCCCCTGCGCCGGATGAAGAAGCTCTCGACAGTCCCTGGGAAACTTATTGAAACAAGTCATCAAAAGTCAAACCCCCGCCACATCCAGGATCAAGAAAGAGGTGTCAACACCCGCCGTGGCTGGTCCCTCGGGGATCAAAAAGGAAGCCAAAGCTAGTCGAATACCGCGACGAATCTTACCCGAAACACCCAAGACCGGTAAAAAGCCCGCACCCCCCTCAAGTGGTAAGAAGCCTGCCCCCAAATCGGGTGGTTTGAAAAAAGCGTTTTGAGTGGGGCCAGAAAAGGCTTTTTAAAGAGCATTGGTCTAGATGCCAAATCAATTGACGACGACACAGACGACGAAGAGGGTGGTTACAGCCCCAAGAAAGTCGCCAAGAAACCCCAGAAGCGCAAACCGACAGCGGCCGAACGCCTGAAGCCTTGGGAAGAGTGGGAAAGACCCAGTCGACGACGTCTCGGCTATGACACGGACTAGAGCCAACAAGACCAGGACTCGTAAAAAGCAACGCGGCGATGGCTTCCACATTCAGAAACTGTTGAGTAAGACGGGAATCGAATTTCATTGGCCGGGGTATCAGTACATGGGACCGGGCACCAAACTGAAAAAACGACTAGCCCGAGGAGATCCTGGGATAAATCATTTGGACCGACTAGCCAAACAACACGACATCGATTACAGTCGAGCCAAGAATATACAGGACAAGTAGAAAGCCGACACGAAGATGATCAAGGCCATCGACTGGTTACCCGGTAGAAAGACCCTGACGGAAAAGGTGGTGAAAAGAATCATGCAAGCCAAGAAAAGATGTAAATTGTAACTTTTTTAATCACGTTTTGATTAAAGATACATGTGTTCACTTATTTTTGGGCTTTCTTCTTCTTTTCGGTGTGCAAATAAGCCACTCTGAAATTGCTAAAGATCCCTTTGACAATTCTGGAGGCAATGTGCCATGGTAAAAGATCCCAATAACTTTCTATTTGTTCGCTCAATTGCATCTTGGTATTGAGATTCATTTTTCTAAGGAAAAAAGATCGTAAGATTTTCTTTAATACCATCTACGAATTCCATCGTTCGATGTAACGAATTACCTAATAAGACTTCTCGTCCGTTATAAGAACCATAGACTTTTTCATGAAAGACAGTGTCAGGCGTTACTTTTTCATACTTCCATCTCATCCCGTTACAAATATAACATTGAAAAGGTTGACATCTCACGTGACCTAGGTTCCATTTACATTTCACGCGATAATACAATCGAATCAATTCACACAGCTCTTTTTGTTGGTCCGTCACCATGTCCAATCGTTCTCGTCGCGGCTTCAAATCGAGAATGTACGTTTGTATTTCGAGCGGAAGACAATCCCCTCGGCTTAACATTTTTTCTACAAAACAAAACGAATTCTCGAATTTAACAGACCATGCTTGGCAACTGCCATATTGCACATAGCTTGATTCAAGGAGTAGCCTAACATCACGCGTTGATCGCGATAATGACCATACAGTCTCACATGAAACTCATTACAAATAGAACAATAATAAGGGTGACACGCCACACGACCTATCCTCCATCTATCTTTCACAGCATGATACAATCTCATTTCTTGACACAATCGCTTTCGTTCCTCTGTCAACGTGTCCAATCGTTCCTGTCTATACTTCAAGTCCATAATGTAACTTTGTATTTCGGGAGGAATACGATCCCTGAACTGATCCCTGATGACTGAACACTTTTTCTTCTAAAAAAACACAAAAATTAAAACAGGTTTTTATAGGCTTTAAGAGCCCAGTTCACGTCCTTCCGCAAATCTTCCAGATCCATCTCACTCAAAAAGCCCAGCTGCTGTTCGAGGAACAAACGGTCAATATCCTGCAGCACCACACCGATGCAACCTGACAGGTTCCGCAAGTCACTGCATAAAAAACTCCCGCAATTTTCTTTCTCATGCTCCCTCCACTCATTGACCCACTTTGCTAAAGTAGTCATCTTTCGATTGCATCTATTCAATGTATCCATGCTTTCGAACTCACCTCCACTTCAATGAAAAACTTCAATGATAACTACTCCAATGATAAGAAGCGCAAAATTGTCCAGCTCCACAGTCACACTCACCAACGGCAAACTCACTTCAAGCTTCATCAGTTGAGCCACAACCGCCAAGGCGCGCCATTTTTATACACGCGGAATCACGACACGTGACGTGACGTCACCATAGGGGGATGGGGGTATCCCCAGCCGTGACGTCATTAAAAAAAGGGCGGGAACCCCCACCCTATAAACGTCACCTCGACGATCCCTTCAACTCATGCTTCGATGGTCTAGTGGTTAAGACGTCGCGTTGTGGCCGTGAAGACTCAGGTTCGATTCCTAGTCGGGGCAAAAAAAAAGTTTTTCACGTGTTGAAAAAGTACTTTTTTCCCATTGGTCCACTCACACGATTAAAACCAAGTCGACTTTGATCATCCCATCAGTCTCATCATGTTTCGCTTCCAGAGAGACGATCTCGACCTCGACGATGAAGAAGGCAACGCCCTCTTAGCCCATCATTTGGATGACATTGAACAAGGCTTCGATTTTCTCGTAAAGCCTCACTTGGATCGACGCGTTCGCCATTTAGGCGTCAGACACAGAAATTAAGTGGGACGATTAATGCAAAGCGAAGGAGCAGCACCTCTCTCAACCCGACAACGACAAATCTTACCGCGTCAAATAGAACAAGCCCTCCAACGCGCCATACGAGAGCAAGTCCTGCAAGATCCAGAAGTCAATCCCAACGATCACTTTCTCATCAACATTAATTCGAACCGATTGAGACACTCCTATCACTCGGCTCGCATGCGCGTCAGAGAATGGATGAACAATGATCTCAGAGCCCAAGAAATCATGCAACAAATTTCAAAGATGTTAAACTCCAACGAACAGTTTCGATTGGATGACACCTTCTCGTTACACATTTCACACATCCGAGATCCTGGACGAGGTAGCGACAAACAGCGACTTCGCAAAGCCAGCTTAGCGCTCGACAAGCTACTCGATTTCAAAAAGAGCGTCATCAAAATCAACAACGATGATGAACTCGGTTGTGCACGGGCCCTCGTTACCATGCAAGCCTACTGCGACGTAGGTAGTAGACATCCCGACTACGTCAACCTACGACGGGGTAAACCCGCTCAAGCAAGAAAGGCCAAGGCACTCCATCAGGCTGCGGGTGTCCCCGAAGGACCTTGCGGTCTCGCCGAACTCCACACCTTCCAACGTCAACTCACCGATCACCAGATCGTGGTGCTTTCCCTGGACCATAATTATCAAATCATTTTCAAAGGCCCCCCACGTGACAAACAAATCGTCCTCATCAAAGCGGGTGAACATTATCACGGTTGTAATTCCCTCTCTGCCTTCCTAGGAAAATCCAATTTTTGCATCGAGTGTGAGAAAAGCTACCAGACCGACGACATCTCTCACCATCCCTGCAACGGTAAGAAATGTCCCGCTTGCTGTCAAACCCAGTGTGAAGATCGTCGTCGCGCCAGCGACACCACACACATCTGCCCTCGTTGTCACCGTGCCTATTTCGGAGAACAGTGTTTGGCCAATCATTACGCTTACTCCAAGACTGATAGAACCAAAGCCGACGCTTCCAAAAAAAAAAAACTTGTCTGCAGTTCCCTGCGCAAGTGTCCTCGGTGCAACAGATTACTCAGGCCTCGCGAGATTGAAACGCGTCACGTGTGCGTTACCGCCGAATGTCCCTCATGCAAGGAGTATCACAATCTCTACCGACACCAATGCTTCATACAGAATCCCACCAAGTTAAAACAAAAGCGAAAATTATTGAAATCCAGAAAACGAAAGGCCGACGGTTCGCGTAGCGTGCACACCAAAGACCATCTCTTCGTGTACTGGGACAGCGAAACCATGCAAGACACGGGTGTCCACGTCCCCAACCTGGTGTGCGCCGCCACTTCCAACTGCGATGAACTCTTTCATTTTGAAGGCACCACCTGCATTCGAGATTTCCTGGATTGGTTGAGAGCTTTTGCTCAGGATTGTACCCTCACCGTCCTAGCCCATAATTCCCAAGGGTTCGATTCTTACTTGATACTGGATGAACTCTACCAACAATACGTGGTGCCCGAGCAAGTGGTCAATGGCGCCAAGATCCTGTCTTTGTCCATCAACGCAGGAGACATTGTTTTCAAAGATTCTCTCTGCTTCTTTCAAATGCCTCTGGCCAATTTTCCCAAAGCCTTCGGACTGGTCGAACAAAAGAAAGGTTTCTTCCCCCACTTCTTCAACACCTCCGACCATCAGGATTACGTGAGACCTCTACCCGACAAAGAACACTATGACCCCCAAGGCATGCCCACCGAACGAGCGCAAGAGTTCGAACGATGGTATGCCCAACAACTCGCCGAGCCCAACTTGATCTTCGATTTCCAAGCAGAACTCGTAGCCTACTGTGAATCCGACGTGCTGCTACTCAAAGGTGCCTGCGAAGTGTTCTGCCAAGAATTCGAAGCCATCAGCGGCTTCAATCCTCTCCAACGATGTCTCACCATCGCCTCCGCCTGCAATCTCTTCTACCGCACCAAACACATGCAAGAACGCGCCATCACCTCGGAACCCATCGCCGGATGGCATGCTCAAGGCAAACCGCATTCCCTCGCGTCCCTGGAATGGTTGACCTACTTGAATCGAAAACCCGACCACCACATTCGACACGCCCTCAATGGAGGGGAACACGTGATCCTACGCGGAGACAAAACCTTCTTCGTGGACGGGTACGATGAACTCACTCGCATCTTGTAAGAATTTCACGGTTGCTTCTGGCACGGGTGTTCCAAGTGTTACCCGACCGCGATCGCACACGTCACAAAATGTGCGATCAGACCATGCGCGATGTCTACGAAGCCACCAAACTCAAAGAAGACAGTCTTGGCTGCTGGCTACAGTATGGTGGTCATGTGGCAATGTGAATGGGAACAACTCAAGCAAGAAGACGACAACCTGGGAAGCCTGGTCCAATCCTTCGACCTGGTCTCCAGACTCAAACCCAGAGACGCGTTCTACGGTGGAAGCACCAACACCATCAAACTTTACCATCAGGTCGAACAGGGAGAAAAGGTTCATTACCTCGATTTCACATCCCTCTACCCCTGGACCAACAAAAACTGTCCCTTCCCTGTGGGTCTTCCCGTAATCATTCACCAACCCGAAGGCACCGACATCTCCAGTTACTTCGGTCTGGTCAAATGCAAGATCCTTCCACCCTTTGGTTTGTATCACCCCGTCTTACCCCACCGCAGTGGGGGTAAACCCACATTTCCACTTTGCAGAACCTGCGTGGAAACCGAGCAACCCAAACCGCTGACCGAACGCAGTCATCGCTGCATCCACAACGAGCAGGAGCGATGTCTGGTGGGTACGTGGCCCACCCCCGAATTACAAGAAGCCCTTCGTCAAGGGTACGTCATCCAACACGTGTACGAAATTTGGCACTTCTCCAACAATTCCAACGACTTGTTCTCTTCCTACGTGAACACCTTTCTCAAGATCAAGCAAGAAGCCAGTGGATGGCCCGATTGGGTGGGTGACGATGTCGCGAAACGCCAGCAGTACCTCTCCGACTACCTAGCCAAGGAAGGCATTCAACTCGAGGCCGACAAAATTCAAAAAAATCCCGGTCAACGGCCTCTCGCCAAAATGATGCTAAACAGCTTCTGGGGCAAGTACGGTCAACAAGGTAACAAGAGCCAAGTCGAAGCCATTTCGTCGCCGGCCAGACTTCATTCCCTACTGACCGACGACAGTCAAGAAATTCAAACCCTTCGTGTCATGAACGACGAGATGATTGAATTGGTCTACAAACACGTTCAAGACGAAGAAGCCGTTCATGTCAACATCAACATTTTCGTGGCCTGCTTCACCACCTGCTGGGCCAGACTCAAACTCTATCGAGAAGGACTCAGTAGATTCCAACCCCAACAAGTCTTGTACTTCGACACAGACTCCATCATCTTCTCGCATCGTGAAGATCAACCCATGCCACCCTTAGGCGATCATCTCGGCGAATTCACCAGCGAATTGAAACCGGGCACTCACATCGTGGAGTTTGCTGCCGCTGGCCCCAAGAATTACGGTTACAAAACCAACGACGGTAAAGTCGAATGCAAGGTACGCGGTTTCACCCTCAACACACGTGGTCAAGAACAATTGAACTTTGACCTGTTAAAAGAAAACGTCACCAACAAAGTCACCGAACCCCGCGAAGAACCACGGGAAATCAGCGTACACAATCCACACAAGATTAAACGAAATGTCCAAACAAAAACATTAGAAACGAACGAAGAAAACAAACGATACAAAGTCGTCTTCGACAAACGCGTCGTGGAACCCGACACCTTCCTATCGTATCCTTACGGATACACACGAGACGACATCGACGATATCGACATGGAAAATGTAAATCATTTACTAGACTTGTAAATAAAAGAAATTTAAAAAAATCTGATCACGTGGTTTGTCTGTGTGACGTCACTTCCAGTCCCCAGACCCTCACGTCCTAGCGTCCAGCCCCGCGCGGCCAACTTTGACCGAGTTCGCCCCAGTCTTTCCTATTGCGAACTAATGCAACCGCTGACCTGAGCCGAAAATCCTGCACGCTGATTGGTCCAGACGCGTCACATGACCAAAATAACGCGATCTGATTGGTTGGGTCTCAAAC